TCGGCGCGTCGTGCATCGTCGTGGCGCTGCTGTGCGACGCGCTCCTCGGCAACATGCAGCAGCGCGTGCTGCAGGGCGGCACGAGCGTCGAGATGCTCGTCTTTTGCCAGGCCGGCTTTGGCACCCTCGCCATGGGGCTGGTGGCCGGCGCGAGCGACAAGCTGGGGCCGGGCGTAGCGATGATGCGGGCCGACCACCGCGTCGCCGGCGCCATCCTGCTCTGGGCGGTCGCCATCACCGTCGGCGTCACGCTGGTGATGCGGCTCGTCGGCGAGTTCTCCGCGGTGACCGCCGTCGCGGTCACCACGGTCCGGAAGGCGGCCACCCTCGCCGCCTCCTACATCCTCTTCCCGAAGCCGCTCGGCTGGGGGCACGTGGGCGGCGCGGCGCTAGTTTTCGGCTCCGCGTTTGTGAAGCACGCGCTCGGGAGGAGGAAGGCGTGACGACTCGAGCAGCCGCGCTCTCTTGTGTCTTGTGACCGTTTGTACGCGTAATGTTCGCAGTCCTTCTCCTATTCTCGCTTCAACCTTCGTGCCGAGAAAAGTTCGCGAAATATTAATTCTTTTCTGTGGCGGCCCAGCCAGCCCAGGAAAAAGTGCAGGGATGTGTCGCGCCCCATCCTACTACGAAGTCCTCGGCGTGCGCTCCAACGCCAGCGAGGACGAGCTGAAGCGGGCCTACCGCAGGCTGGCGCTCAAGCACCATCCCGACCGACACCCCGGCGAAGAGCGCGGCGAGCACGAGGCGGATATATGCGGCACCGAGACTGCACCCGGCCATGTTCCGCTGCACATGCACGTTGCCCCTGTCCGCAGGCGAAGTTCAAGCAGGTCAACACCGCCTACGAGGTGCTGGCGGACAGCAAGACTCGCGCGCAGTACGACAAGTTTGGCCCCTCGCTCGGCGAGGACATCGACGAGGACGACGCGGTGCACGTGCCTCCTGCAGTGGTGCGAGAGGCGATGCGCGAGGCGATGATGTACCTGCAGGAGCAGCTGGCGGGGGCGTACCTCGGCGCCGCACCGGGCGGCGAGCCCGCGCGCCCCTTCCGCCGGCACTACTCTGCCCCGCAGAGCCGGGTCGGCTGCGTGGAGTGCGCGCTCTTCGGCGTGGCGCAACTACTCCCGGCGCTGCTGCTGCTGCCCCTCGTCTTCGCGCCGCCGGCACAGCCGCCCGCCGCGCTCCTCGACGCCAAGCCCTTCTTCTCCTTTGCTCCCAGCGGCAACCACACCATGCAGAGAGCGGCGCCGCTCGGCTGCGCAGACTTGGACGCCGACGAGATGCCTCCAAGCGAGCCTCGCGCCGCCCGTCCCGCGCCTCCGACGCGGCGCGGCCTCACCCCGTGCCCCGCCCCGCGCCTCGGTCCGACAGGAGAGGCCGAGGACCCGCGGCTCGCTCGCGCCAGGCAGATGCTGCGCGCCGCGCAAGAGGCGGAGGACAGAGAGAAGGAGGAGGAGGAGGAGGAGGAGAAGCAGCGGGCAGTGGAGAAGGAGAATGCAGACACGCAGGCGGGATCGCGCGGCGGCAAGCCAGCAGGAGGGCCGCGGCGGCTCGAGCCCGTTGCCTTTTACGTCGAGAGAGAGGCGTGCGGCGCCACGTAGCGATGGGTAGTCACGGGCAGCACGACGCGCCTCCCTACAGCTGCCTCGCCTCTCTCCTCCCCACTGCTGCCTCTCTCCTCCCTGCCGCTCCGGTGGCCTTTGAGACAACACAGCTGGAAATGACTTTGTGTTTCCCAGGTTGCGGCGGCGCTCGAGGCGGACGCGGCGCTCTCGGATCGGGTCGAGGGCATCGTGCTCGCGACGGCGCTGCGGGACGCGCGGGCCGGTTGCGGCGCAGAGCGGCAGCGCCTCTCGCGCCTTACAGAGGCCTCCACACACACACGCACGGACGCACACACACGCGCGCGCACACCACGCACACGCACACACACACGCATACACACACGCACACACACGCACACGCACACACACACACACACGGCCCCAGCGCTCTCAATGCCGCGGGGCTCCTGTCTGCCGACACGGAGGCCCGAGGGAGAATAGCCTGGCCCTTGCTAGCGTGTGGAGATCTTCACCTCACCTCACCTCGCCCTAGGCCGCCCTTCTTAAGCCAAAGGGCGAGGCGAGGCAGGCGGCGATGAGTTTGGCGCGCGCGTACGAGGCGGGATCGATGGCGCAGTGCGCGCGCGCCGCGCAGCTCGCGCGGGCAACGGAGAGGGGGCGCGCCGACCGCCAACGCTGCGCCACTGGGAGCTGAGGCGCGGGTTCACTTTTCGATGTTCCCGGCCCGCGCAACCGTGGCGCACACGTGAGGTGCGAGTGAAACCACCAGTGTTTTGAATGACACCGACATCACACAAGCCTCAAGGCGGGTAGCGAAAGCGCGTTGTGTAAATAAATAAAACGGACATCTCTACTGTGACAGCGCGTTGTGTGCAAGAACATACCTCACTCGATAAGTACATAAAATGATCGGGCCGGAAAACACGTAACACGCTGACGCCAGGCACACGCACGTACATGTTCACAGCACACCCTCGCAAGCTAAGCTCGGCGCACTCGTCAGTCTACAGTCTCTCAGACGGAGAGGACTCTCTCTCACGCGCGTGTGCGCTCTCAAATACACCACACTCAAGACAAATATGACAAGGATAAGATTCCGTGTAGTCCTGTCACTGGACCTGTCCTGACCCTGTGCTTGCAGTGGTTCCAGCAGTTGTGGCGGAAGAGTCGGCTACTGAGTGTCTAGGCGAGGGACGCTTCAGCGAGGTTGGCTGCCGCAGCATCGCCTCTTGCGTCTCTCCGCGCTCCCCCCCCTCCCCCTCCCCCACCGGGTAAGGCGGAGGCCCTCCCTGCTGCACCTTTGCCTCATCGTCCTGGCTGTGCGAGGGCACACACGCAAAGAGGACTTTGCCGTCGAACTCGGGAACCGCTGAGAACGTCTTGATCGGAGTCTCGCTGCGCTGGCTCATAGGCACGTGCACCACATTGGGCGGGGTGGCGGTGTGGTCTAGCTGGAACGGGGTGGGGCTCTGCCTCTCTCCTGAGCGCGGCGGAGCAGGGGCACCGCCTGGCTCGCGCAAGAGGGAGCTACGGCTGGGACTCGAGGAGAGGGAGTGGCAAGGCGAGACGCGGCCGGTGCGTGGCGAGTCGTCGTCCGACTCCTCGGCCCGCTGACGCACGCTCCCCGTGCTGCGCGCCCGTGGCAGCCGCTGCCTTGGGCGAGGAGAGCCGGAGGGTGACGACGAGGTCGACTGGCCTGTCTGCTCATCCGCCACCTGCACGCGAGAGGGATGGAGGTTGGTCGCGCCCACGAGCGTGCACTGCGCTTTGGCGCGCGGCTCCGCACCCTGCGGAGCCCGCACCGCTGCTCCTGCAGCAGCCTGTTTGTCTCTTGCATCGACTCGATTGTCATGAAGTTGAGGTGCACTTGCCGCAACATCTCGGACATCTTTACCGTGTCTTCCGCCATGGCCGCGCGTCGCAGCCAATGCAGCACCAGCACCAAGGGCGCTGCAGTGCTGCAGGTTGGAGTGTGGTCCAGCAGTCCGACGGGGGTATCCGGGGGCGCGGTGGGGCAAGCGCTTCATCAACAAACGTGGCCGGCTAAAAGACGAGGTTCGATAGTGGATGCACCCCTGGGGAAAGCGACAATCCCCCCCGGTTTGGGGAAAGCGAACAATCCTAGTGAGGAGCGAGTCCTTTTTCCAGTGTATGTAGCTCTTACGTACGTACGTGTTTTTTGTGTATGGTAAATTCTGGCCGCATCCCTCCCCTGTCCTCTCGACTGCTTCCCTCTTTTACATACATATAAGGGCTACGCGAGTAGATGGGACGGGAGGACTGTGTGTGTGTGTTCTATGTTTGTCGGTGCTCGTGGCTCTTACGCCGACTACTGCCCCCCCCGCGGTGGTGCGGGTGCGGCGACTGCGGGTTCCGCGCCGGCCGCAAACCCGCCGCTCCCCCACGTACGTTGCCAGCCAGGCGATTGATTGCCAACTTCGCCGCCGCGGCCGGTGCTGGCGCGGAAGACGGCGGCTATCCGCGCGTGTCGACCTCCCCTCCTCGGTGCCGTGCGTGGGAGCTCTCGCAGGACATGTTCAACGATACGGTCAAGCCGGTTAAAGCTGTTAGGTTAGGCAAGCTAGGATGAAACTGTACGTCAGAAGCAGACATGTACATGTCATGTTATGTTGTACCAGGTAGGTAGGTAGAAAGGTGAAGAACAGCCAGGCTTCGACTGTACCACACCCCGCAAAATCGGAACCCAATTTGCTTGCGGCGCCAACGTGCGCCTCGGTGCGGCGCAGCCTTATTTTAACGACGACGCACTGATGCTCGAGGAGCACTGCACCGGGCCCTGCGCCGATCAGGTGAGCAAGCTCTCCGCGGAGGTGTTCGGCCCGCCTACAGGAGCCCTCGGTGAAGGCACCTTTGCCGCCGCCTCGCAAGCACCACCTTGGATACACCCTGGTGGCCCGACGGTCCCAGGTGCGCAGCCGCTGCGCGATGGTGCCGACGGACGTGAGGCGGTCACAGGCGGCGAGCCGCCCATCTGGAGAGAGTACGAGGGGACGTGGGAATGCACCTGGATCAGCGGTGACCAGGACAGCTTCCTCGCCTCACAGGGCGTGCCGTGGTTCACTCGCATCGGATTTCAGGCTCTCGGCTCGGGCGTGGGCACCGGGATGACGATCCGCCTCGTCGGCGACGGCAGCGCCTGGGTCGTGCACTTCTGGCTCCCCGGCCTTCCTGATTACGGAGAGAGCTTCACCGGCGCCTTCGCGACGGCTTACGTGTTTCTCCTTGGCTTCGATGGCCGGCTGCGAAAGTCGGACCTACCGATGATCGGTCGGCACTCCACCGTCGGCGCGTACGAGAGGAGTGGTCCAATGTATGCCGTGCGGCTCGACAATGGAGGCTACCTGACCACAAGGCACGAGCTGGTCGACGGCGGCACCGGCATCATTGCGCATGGGGCGTGGATCGCGGACGGCCACCCGCTCACGGCCACGACGTCCTTCTTTCGCCGGGTCGGCGCCGCTCGCAACGGCTCGACCCCGGCCTCCTCGGCACGCGGATGGGATGCCGCCGCCGGCTCGGCAGCCGCGACAGCCGCGAATGCGCACCCTCTCCTGGTGGCGGCGGCGGCCGTGGGTACACTTGCGCTCGGTGCCCTCTGCCTCGGCCGGCGTCGGCCATCGTCGACTGCTCGCGCGGCAACGAGGGGCCAAAGACGGCTGGTCTAGGTTCGCCAATGGGCCGGTGAATGGTAACAACTAACATCATCGAATTAGGGACCGTACGTTCAGGCGCGTATGAGAGAGAGAGAGAGAGAGATCTTTCTCTCTTCGCGTATGTGCGAGAGCCGCGGAGTCGTTCAACACCATCGACGCATGCATGCTCGAGCCGTCCAAGAGTGCGTTCGGGTAAGGGGTATGCGAAGCCGCGTTGTATTAGCGAGAATTGTTTTTAGCATCCCCTGCAGTTGTGCACTTTTTTCGCACTTGGCACATCGTCATCGACATGGCGCGGTGGCATCTGAGGGAGGGTGTAGGGGATGTAGAGTGTAGAGCGCTGTAGAGCTGTAGAGATGTCATGAGAGGATGTAGAGCGCTCTGGAGCGCTGTAGAGCTGTAGAGCTCTACATCCGCCGCGGGACGATGCGGGTGCGTTGTAGAGCGATGTAGAGGCGCTCTATACAACGAGACGGCCTAGAGAACACAACCCCCTCTCTCTTTTCTCCCAGTAAGCTAAAAGTACGTACAACGAGAGAGAGAGACGTACACCGTGAAATCTCTACAACAAACTCGACATCATAAGCGGCGAACGAGGCACGGTCGCTCTCCGACATGAGGCGCGTTGCACTTGCCAGTGCTGCCCTGGCCTTCTGTGTGCCCGCCCAATGGGTGGGAGGTGCCTCTGCTGCTGTGGCATGCCTCACGGCTGCGACTGGCCGGCGCCTCGCTCGGCTCGGCGTAGCGATCGTAGCCAGCGCAACTCGCCTGGACTCAACGCTCAGGCCAGGAGCTCCCGCACGCGCTGGCGCGAGTCATGGCGCATGCAACGCGTCTGAATGCTCGCCTCGCCTCGCGCAAATGCGACCGTCCTCGCAGCCGACAGTCCACCGCCTGCTAAAGAAGCACAGCGACGAATGCGGCACCGGCGACGCATGGCAGGCTGGTCATGACGCAGTTATAGGGTGTTGTGTGCCGTCAGAGTGACCGTCTCTGTGTGTCAGTGATAGTCAGGGCCGTCCATCAGAGCTCCAGTAAGCTCGGAGACACCCCATTAGCGCGGCTCGACCTCTTTGAGTCACTGCCTTCCCAGCGGTTTGGCTGTAGAGCCTCTACAACAAACTCTACAGCAAAATCGCGCTCTACATCGCTCTACAACGCACGCAGTTCGTCACGCGGCGGATGTAGAGCTCTACAACTCTACAGCGCTCCAGAGCGCTCTACATCTCTACAGCTCTACAGCGCTCTACACTCTACATCCTCTACACCCTCCCTCAGGGTGGCATCCTGTTTAGCTCGTCGTTTACGTTTTTGCCCGCTCCGCCCCCCCCCCCCCCCCCGCGCCGAAACTCGACAGACGACACGACACGGCGCGCTGCCGAGTGCCGTGTCTCCGTGTGCCGAAAATACCGACACGTCGCAGTTCTCTCCATGCGCGCAGCGGCGGGGGTGCTTCGGTCCCCTCCCTGACGAAATCTTTGCGCTCTCTCTTTACATACAATAAGGAGCTACATAGAATGAAAATGGACCAATAAAGTATTTTCCCTCTCACACGTGTGGATTGGTGGGCGGTTCCGGTGGGCCTGTCGCCGCGAACGATTATCTAGTGAAGAGTCATCTACAGACTTGTCATCAGCCGTAACAGCCGATCAATCAGTCACAGTCAAACGGACAACGGTCGTCGGTCAACTACACACCTATGCCTAAGCGCAGATCAGCCAACAACGACGCCGAACCAGGCTCGCCACCGCGCACGCCTCCGACAAAGCGACGAGTACCAGTAGCTCCCGGGGCACCAAGTCGGCCGATTGCAAAGAGAAGACCGCAGTCGGCGATCGCCTTCATGGAGTTTATGCGCAGCGAGCAAGAGGTCCTTGCCATGGTGGGCGTAGCAGCGTGGTCCAACCGGTTTGAGACCGCCGACGTCCATGCACCGGTGAGCTCCGTGTGTGCGGAAATTAGAGACTGAGAGTGAGACTTGGCTCATCCTCGAGAGGTTGTAAGTGAATTGATGCGAAAGAAGACGTGTTTCATTTGCGTGTAGAGATTCAACCTGCACAGGTTGTTCTCATCGAGCTGATTTTCAGGGAAGGGTGGGTGAACCGCGCTCCGCGGTGTACGGGGTCGCGTTCCACGCGTTCTCACGCGTCAGCCGCAGAAGACGAACGCCTTGTGCTCCCGGTCCGGCGGGGCGGCTGGATGAGTGCCAGCGGTGATCGGCCCGCCTTGCAGCGTCGGCCAATTATCCTTCTCTTGGCCGCATTATCCATTAATACCAGCGAGCAGGCGGCCGTGAGGAGCTCGCAAGGGAGCTCGGCGACGGCGATGGCGACGGGGGCTCGGCGAGGGAGAGAGAGAGGTCCCGCCCCGTAGTAGAAGAAGGACCCGCTTGGGCACATGCCGTCGACGAGGTCATAGCAGACCTATCCTTGCTGGCACCTCGAGTCTGGCACGGCAGTCGGCAGTCGGCCGTTTGAGCCCGTATAAAGCGGTTGACGGCAGAAGTGGTTGGCTCGTGCCAGCCGATCAGCAGGTGATTCCCACTCACTGCTAGGCTAATGTCGGGCTGTCCTGCGGCAGTGTGGTGCCGTGAGGGGCGACGCCCCTACCCAATCCCAAAAGAAACTACGTACGTACGACAGCAGTCAGTAAGTACCGTGCCCGGGCACACAGATCAGAGTGGATTAATTCTTTATCAAAAATCGAGATGGACCCTGGACTAGGATAATACGTCTGGGGATTGACCCGAACTCCCCTGGCGGTGCGCCATATGACTGCAGTGATTTTGAGGAGGAGGATGAGTCCGATGGCAGTGCGACTTGAGGAGTTATTATACTCTTACCAAGCCGAGGAGGAGGAAAGTTGAGACAGGTCCGAAGACCAGTGGGAAGTCATATAATACGGGGGTTTGGCCGGCAGCAGGGATGGGAGGACGGCACGCCGCCACCACACAGGGATTTCACGTAAAGGAGCTGAGTGGACAGAAAAGAAAAAAGAAAGAAAACCGACAATCCAAGGGAGGGATGGGAGGACGGCACGGACAGAAACGAGGGCGGGGCGGGCTCAACATATTTTTGGTGCGAGACGAAAGTACCGGTCTTCGCGCCCCCCCTTCGCCTGGCTACCTAGGTCAGTCGTACCATGGAAAAGTCGCAACGCCTCCTCGTTCCCGTTGAGAAGGAGCGGGGTGAGGGCGCCGTCAGCGCCAAGTCGAGTCGCGGATCCTTCTCCTTTGAGGGTGGTGAGTCGATGGTCGAGAGTCAACGTGCGAGGCTCAAGCAGACCTCGTCGGCGGATGGCGGTGTTCCGAGGCGCAGCGTCAACGTGGAGGTCCTCAAGACCACACTGGCGGGCGGGTTCGCGGGTATGCTGGCCGGCGGAGGCATCATGCTGGGAGCGCTGCGGCTCTCTCCGGTGGCCCGCGCCTCCAGAGGCGCCAGGCTGGCCATCGCCACCGTCTCGCTCTGTGTGCCGGCGCTGGCCTTTGCCCACACAGCAACTACACGAAAGTTCGGGAGTCCGCCGCCAAGGTGGGCAGTACCCGCCGGCGCACGGGTCCAGGCGGTTCAGAACCCACCGACGCCGTGCGAGTGAGTGGGGAGAGAGATATACAACCGATGCAGCTGCTGACTTGGTCAGGGTTTTATGATACGCAGAGTCATCGTCACAAGCAGTTAGGGAGAAAATGGATGGGGCGAGAGGGAAACACGGCTTTAGGCTTTAGGGGCCTACCGTTTCGCGAGACACGTTGCCCCTCACATGCCCGATGCCGCCTGCGTGTGTCGGCTGTCGCTGTGTGTGACTTGTGTGTGGTTCACAAGTTCAGACTTCGGTCTTGCGCTCAGAAACACGGCATGGTCGACGCCCGTCCTGCACCTTCTCTCCGCTCCTCCTCCCCACTGACGAAGGTGACGCGCCCACCACCTCCATCCACGCACACGCGGACCGGGCTGGCGCCTGGCGGGCGTGCTAGCTAGGTGCAAGGTGGCTGGTCGGCTGCTGCTTCCATCCACCACCCTGACCGCTCGCCCCTCCGCGCCCCCGCTGCTGCGTGGCTGTCGTCCCACTGCTGAGCTCAACCGTTGCCAGACCCGCATACTCGTAATGAATGGTGGGCGTGCCCACCCCCGAGTGGTTCGACCCACGCAAACCCGAGACGGTGACGGGATGCTGGCTCAGTGATCTCAGGCCCAGTGAGGTAGTGCACGAGACTATCCTGGAGCCTGATGAACAAGCTCCTCTTGTAGCTCGATCGGTCACACCGCCATCGCCGTCGGGGAGAGGGGGGACGGCACTGCTTCTGCAGCGTGCACCTCGATCGATCCTGTACCGTGTTTGTTATGACCCCCCCCCATGAACACACCAGTGAGGGTGGGCGAGACGATCGAGGGGTCCCGTACCATGCGGAATCGACCCTATCAAGTGCTCAAGTGCTCAAGACCTCATTAATGCCGTCGCTGCATCTGAGCCCGCTGGGATTCGGTCGCGTAAACAGCCAAATTTCATATCGATCGGCCGATATTACGACTCCCAGGCGCCAGGCCACCCCCGGGTTAGCAGCCGATTTCATGCCCCCGCTCATTCGAGCCACCGCTCGACCCCTCGTTATCCTCCGAGCCCATTCCCCTGCGAGGCAAACTGGCTCATACCACACCTCGAGCCAACTTCCTGTCCACAGGCTGGCAGCGCGAGGCGAAGGCAAAGGGCAGCCGGATGGACACGGTAACCAAGGAAGGCGGGGCGCTCTTCAGCGCATGCATCTGCTGCATCAATGAGGTTCGCACAATGCGCGTCACAGCCCGCTGCCACTGCCGGGAAGGGCCCCTCACCCTGGCGCCCTGCCTGACCCGCTCTACAGATGGACACGACGGATATCCTCATCCTCTGCAAGGGTGCGCAGGAATTCCTCTGCATTGAGGAAAAGGTCTGCCTCGCGGCAGACACCGAACACTTCCCCATCGGCCTCATCAAGGAGGACGGGATGATCTGCAAGGTTGGCCTCCCCTGCTGCACGTGCGGGCTCAAGGTGCCAGAGGTGCTCATCAAGGGGGAGGGCCAGTGTCTCTGCTGCAAAAACAAGGCGTCCTTCCCGTTTGTTGAGGAGTACGTGGCAAAGCCCGTCTGTGCAATCTGCTTCATCGCCCTGATCCCCAACTTTGGCATTTGCAAACCCTTCAAAGAGGTGATGGGCGCACCCGAGATGGCTGAGATGGAGCGCTGAGACGGAGGGGAGAGGATGGGTGAGGAGGTTGCGAGGGAGGAGACGCGGGGGGCGCCGGGGGGGGGGGGGGGTCTGAGGGAGAGAGAGAGAGAGGAAAGGGAGAAGGGGGTTCAGAAGAGTAGTCGTGCCGTGAGCCGCTCGTGGGAGCATTAAACCGTCTGTGACGGTGTGGAGATTTGTCTTACATTGCCTGCCACTAAACCACTTATACACACATAAGAGCATCAAAATGATCAACAAGCACCGTGGGGTCCCTAGAGTTCAAGACCCCACAGCGGCCGGCCGCCCTGCAGCCAGTCAGGCCCCAAGCTCTTGATCCACTTCACCATCGCGATAAACGCGGCGGAAGCCTCAAAGTTGTGCGGGTCGCCACGGCCACGACAGAGCCCGAAGTTAAAGCTGAGCGTTGCCGCAAGCAGGGCGTCGTGTGCCATCGTCGGCTGGACGAACGACTCGTGAAGCACACCCGCCGCGCGCATCTTGTCAGCCAGCAGCGCCTGCGAGTCGCTAAACGCCTCTTCCCCTCCCCAGGTCATCCACACCGAGCCAGGTCTCGCCGCGGCTCGAAGCTCAGCCTCGCTCGCCAGGCTCGGAGAGACGAGTGAGTCCGAACTGCGCCGTTTTCTAGTCGCGTACGCATATCCAGGCAGGTATGCTGCCCCAGATCCAGCAGGGATGACGTCGCCCCATCCGAGGGGAGCCTAATTAGGTGGGCGGGTCGGTCGGTGATGATGAGGGCGGGAAAGGGGAGGGCGCAATACGGAGCACAAAACGCCCGCCACGCGCCTTTGGCTCCTCCTCCGTTGGCGTGAAGTGCTCTGGCTCAAGGCCGCAAGTGTTCGCGCTGTACTTGATCGCCGACGGCGTCTCGAGCGCCTATATGCTTGAAAGTCGACGGCCGGTGGAGAACTCTCGCTTGTAAGAGGCGAGCCGATGGAGGCCCATGGCGCCTCGTCGGCCAGGTCAGCCCACGGAGAGACAAGGCCCAGACCAGCGGGCGGGGGCAGCGGATCTTCCGGCTCGACGTCGGGCGAGTCCGCTGGCACGGTGCCCACGACTGAGGTGGCGGCGAGGAGCGTGGCGAGCGCCTGGCCGCCTCCGCTGGAATCGCCGACGACGACGATGTTCTCGGCGCCGTACATCGTTACCAGCGAGCGGTAGCAGCGCACCAGCTGCGAGAGCGCGTGAGGCCACGGCTCCGCCCCCGCTGAGGGCCACGAGGGGAGGAGGACAACCTGTCCGGTGGTCTCAGAGAGGAGGTAGCCGACGAACGCGAGGTACTGGTGTGCGGTCGTGCCGATGTTGCCGCCGCCGTGCACCCAAAGGATGATTCGCGAGCCAACCTGCGTTGGCGCGTCAGTATGAGTCGGAAGCCTAAACGGGACCACACAACCCATCCCTGAGCGCACACCTCGCCCGGCGCGACATTGGTTGGCAGCGGTCGGCCGCTCTTGTCTTTCGCGCCGGGTGGTGTCGGGAGCTTGCTGAAGCGCTTTGGGTAGACCCAGATGCCGCCGCACTCGTCGCCGTTTGGCGCGTAGACGCCCGGCTTGCACACGGCCGTCGAGGCGGTCATGAATTTGGTGTTTGGGCCGTTGGCCCAGCCTGACGCGATTCGCATGCATCTGCGCAGGCCGCTGCAGGTGTCGAGAATCCCTCCGGTCGCCTGTTTATATGACGGCAATGGTAAGGCCAGCCTCTCCGGGGATGACAACTCCACTCTCACTCCCAGTGCGCCTCGCACACCGTCCCGAACCGATTGGGATCCCCGCCCTCCAGCCCTCGAATGGGCACCCGCTCGCAGCACGAGAAGAGGAAGCGCGGGCTGATTCGGGTCCAGGGACCATAGATGCTGAGGTAGGACTCCTCTTCGGTGACTGTCGGTGGAGCCTTCCAGTAGAGCGTCCCAGGGCCAATCGAAGCTGCGTGCGCCGTGTGCTGCCCCATGAAGGTCATCGCGCCGCATCGGTCCTCGGCAGGTAAGCAGCAGATGCACGCCGCTTTGGCCAGCTCCGGCGGCCCGCAGTAGCATGGCGGACTGATGTAGCGGCCCACGGATGCACCACAGAAGTAGTTGTAGGCGCACGTGCAAAAGTTGTTGCCCCCCTTTGTGATTGACAGTGGCTGGGACGTGTCGCAGACGCCAATGTAGAGTGCTGCGAGGCACCTGTCATACGCGCAGCACAGGGTGTGCCCAGGCGCAAAGAATGCCTCAGCATCAAGCTCCCCAGCCTTTTTGTCATCAAGCCGGAGCAGTGAGAGGAACACGGCCTCTTGCGTGCCGTCTGGGCTGCACGGGCCGTACTGCTCAGCAGCCAACTGGCTTTCAAAGTCGCTTCCAATGAGCTTCGCAAACGCAGCGCCATCTCGGGTCTGTATCCCTCCACTGCCAAAGACACCGAGCGCTGGCTGGAGGCTCTTCATTGCATCGGAAGCAAAGCTTACCAAATCTGATGTGCTGAGGTTGCGCTGGGTGACCTCGTCGTTGCCGGCGAAGACGCCTCCGCGGGCCATTGCCATCGGCTGCGGTCCCCCGCTGCTGGCAGCTTCGAGCCGTCGCCGACCCGCCAACCAATCGGCGGCAGGCCTGGGCAGGTCTGGCTGGGTCACGACCATGGATGGCTGTGAGCGCCGGTGTCTCACCGGAGCGCTAATGGTGTTTGGAATTGGCCCAATTCGCAATGATCGGAAAAGGCGAGAGGGAGAGCGGAGCCGGAGGATGAACCTTGAAGTTGAACGACTACAACAATGTAACAACACGTCGCCGGCGAGGAATAATGCTCCCGCAGCGCGTCTCTAAGCTCTCCACGTATACGACCTACACACCTCCCTTCGGCAGCGTACTGCTCCTGGGCACCGGCCCGTGTGGCCGAGCAGATTTGCTGGGCTCGTCTTGTGGTGAAGGCGGCCTCGGCCGTTTGGTCGTGCCACTGGCGGGAGGCGCCGTTGTGATCCACCTCGCCATCAGCCCGCGCTGCTTTCCTCTTTCGCGGCAGCGCCGCAGCGCGCGCCTCACGTCGTCGAGCGTCACGCCGGAGCTACGCGCGACCTGGACGGCGGCGCCCACACCAACAGCGTCGGCGGTGCGGATGTTGTGAGGCAGGTCGTCAAAGAAGAGCGCACGGCGCAGGTCGACCTTGAGCGCCGCCGCGATCGCCTTCAGGTGCGTGCTCTTGCTGCCCGGCTGCACCACAGCGTGCCCGTAATCGAGGCGAAAACCTTGCAGGAGGCGGGTGGCGGTGGCCGCGGCGGGCGAGGCCGACGCGATCCCGATTGGAACACGGGCGCGCGAAAGCGCCTCGAAAACCGCGGAGACCTCTGGGAAGAGGCGCAGCGTGCGGCCAGCCGTGTCGGACGCCTCGCCAGGCGCCACAACACGCGCAGCATCAAAACTCTCGCAGTTGCCGTTCCAAAGGGTGGAGTCAAGGTCGAAGATGGCGACAGATGGATTGCAGGACGCGATCAGCGCGGGCAGGTCCACCGTGGAGTGGCTGGCCTCCCCACCACTCGCCCTCGAAGAGGAGGGCTCGGTTGGAGGTCTGCGCTGCTCACGACAAGGAGGCTCCATACACACAATCAAGCTCACACAAGCAACAGGCCCGCAAACGGCGCACCGCTGGGTGTTAAAAAATTCTTCGCAAGATCTAAAGAAAGAAAGAAAGCACCCACGCACAAAGTGAAGGATGGGAGGACCGCACGCCGCCACCACACAGGGATTTTAAAACCCTGCACAACAAAAGCACACAAACACCCTCCCCTATCCCTGCATGGCGTGGCACAGGCGCGTCCTCATCCCCTCCTCCGCTTCCCCTTCCACCCGCTCAGAAATCCGCTCTAGGATGGCGCTAACCACCTCTTCAGCCACTTTCGTAGCCGCAGGTCCGTCTTCCGGCTTCACGTGGAACAGTGTGCGAAATTTACCGCCGCACCCATGAGAGGCGGCTAGCGCAGGGAAGCGCTCCGTCCCGAGCGACTCGAGAGGGATCCCCACCGCTTGCCAGTGGCGCGTCACCTGTATCGCCCGCACAGGATAGCGTGCTTTCTCTTCTTTCACCAGTGTGCTGTGAGAGAGGCTTGTCTCTTAAGAATTCTTTCACCAAGGCTCCTCTCCGTCCTCATCGCCACTGCCGCTGCAGCCGCCGCCACCGTCGTCACCGCCAAACATACGCTTGCGCGCTTGTTGGCTCGCCATGCCCAGCTTAGAGGCCGAGAAGGCTGCGCGGGCCTTCGGCAGCACCGCTCGCATCTCGGCAGTCCCCAAATCGCACCGCAAACCCTTCTACGCTAGAAAGAACTCTCTCGGCTGCGCCTACTCGGTAACGGTGTGCGTGCTCGTCTCGACGACGATCGTGATCAACCACCTCATCTTCGGATTCTCGCAGCTGGCTGGCGCCGACATGGCGCGCCTCCCGTCCCGCGCTGCTGCCGCGTCGCCGCGGCGCTGCCCTCGCCCGCGTCGCGTGCCGGATCGTGACGCCGCCGCCCGGCCCTCCCGCCGCACAGATCGAGGGTGGGAACAAGGCGTCGACCAACCCGGACTACTGGGACCCGGACGCCGGGCTGTTCAAGGCGGTCTTCGACGTGGGGCTCACCTTCAACGCGACGAGTCAAGACGCGGTCGAGCTGCAGGCCTTTGCGTACAGCCAGCTCTGCCAGCACACGCCCTACTACCCGGAGATCGACTGCGAGCTGCAGTCGGACCAGATGTCGGTGTGCGTGGTCCTCAAGTGCAAGCAGTTCCAGATGTCCAAGCAGGCGGTGCAGATGTCCTACATGTACTCGATCTGGGAGCTCTGGGAGATGAAGACGGTGCGGAGAGGGGAGAGGAGAGGAGAGCGCGTGCACGGACCGGCGCCGCGGCACGCTCTCGGCAGAAGAGGGTGCCCAACAGTCGCGGCGGCGCCGTCTCGCTCACCCACGTGATCTCCACCCTCGCAGATTGAGCCGCTGCCCGGGGAGCCCGCCGAGTCCATCTCGACGGCCAACGTGACCAAGGAGTACGGCAAGCCGGGCGCCGTGGTCCTCTTTGGCTTCTCGTTCGTCTGGCCGCACGTGAAGCTCGCGCTGCTGCACCTCTTCTTCTACCTCCCGATGACGAGCAGGGGCCGCCGCAACGGCAACTACTGGCTCGCCGTCTTTGGCAAGTGGTCCTTCACCGACGTGCTCGTCATGTCTGCGCTCGTCGGCGTCTTCCACCTCACGCTCGACACGACGGCGTCGGAGGTGTGGGACTCGGCGGGGCCGGACCTGATCGAGACGTGCGGCGGGACCTGCGGAACGTTCATGCACGAAAAGACGCACCCCTTCGAGGGGATCGGCCAGGCGATCGAGGCCAAGCTGCCGCCGCTGCAAAAGTTCAACGACTGGAACCGCGAGCAGCAGGACAAGATGGACGCGGCTTGGGACGAGTTCGTGACGAAGCAGAAGGAGAAGATGGACAGCGCGTGGGACAACGTCTTCCACCACGGCGAGGCTCCGTCGGCCGACTTCTCCTGCTCCTGCGCCTGGACGGCGAACTTCGCCTGCCCGGACGCGCCAATGCCGGGCAACAAGGGCTACGCCCAGAAAGACAACTCGGCGTGCTACGCGTACTGCTGCCCGGAGGACGGCGCGGCGAGCCAGCCGTCGACCGGCCTCGCCAGCCGGATCCCAAAGGTGACGACTGCGTGGGACAACTTTGTGGACAGCATGAAGGCTCAGCCCGCCTCGCCCGCCCCCCCCCAGCCCACGCAGCGTGCCTCGATCCCTCCGCTCCTCCTGCCCGCGCCATCTCGCCTGCGCTCCCCTCTCGCCTCCGCTCCCCTCTCACCTCTGCCCCCCCTCTCTCCGCCCCCCTCACCCGCCCCCCTCACCCGCCCCCCTCACCCGCCCCCCTCACCCGCCCCCACAGGCGGAGATGGCAAAGGACCCTGCCGACCGGATGGGGCAAGCCGCGTGTGCCAGCGGCTGCGCCAACCTCGGCAAGGTGATCGGCGAGGCGCTCGACGCGGTGCACCCCGACCTCGTCTCGACGCTGCACGCCGGCGTGCAGATGGAGGGGATGGTCGCCATGTACTCCTTCTGCATCGCTGTCATGCTCTCGCTCATCGTCTCGATCGTGGTCGAGCGGCTCGAGGGGCGCGGCGAGGGGGTCGTCGACCATCACGCCGAGGCGCAGACTCGCCGCCCGCCGCCCCGCGTCCGTGCGCGCCCACCGCGCCCCTATGAGCCACGCCTCGCCTGTGCTTCGTTGCCGCAGGGCTGGGACGGGTACGACTCCGGCGAGGAGGAGTCGGACGACGACGACGCGTTCGACGAGGACGCGGCCGGCTTCCGCGGGCGCGGCGTGCCGACTCCGCCACCGAGCCCGCCGGCAGAGGGGGCGGGCGGGAAGGCGGAGGGGGGGGAGGCGGAGGGGGGGGTGCGGCAGGTGGCGCCGCTGGGGCACGTGTCGGTCGAGGTCGACACGCCGGGCGACGAGGCGGGCTCGTCGTCCGCCGCGCCCGCCGCCGCGCTCGACGCCGGGACGGCGACGAGGACGCCGATCCCCGAGACGCCGAGCGGACTCCGGAGGCGGTTGGCCGGCTCGGTCCACTTTTTGGAGGAGAAGACCAAGACGGCCGTCGGGATCTTCTCTCCGGCGAAGGACACGCGCACGCCGCGCGAGATCCGGATAGAGCGCAAGATCAAGAGGCAGATGACGGTGCTGGGCGGCGCCAAGCCCTTCCCGGTGACGCGCGAGTGGGCGTGGCACTCCACCATCTGCCTCCTCACCAGCGCGATGCTCGCGTACGGCATGTTCACGCCCTGCTTCACGCGCGAGGTGACCGGCTCGGTGCCCGCGCTGCTCAAGGACACCGGCTTCGACTTTGACGAGGAGTACTCGATCTGGTCGCTCTCGGGCATCATCTACGAGCTCGGCGGCTTCAACCGCGCGCTCATGTACACGACGTACCTCGTCTTTTGCGTCATCGGGCCGGCGGTGCGCTGCAGCACGCAGCTGATGCTGCTGCTGCTGCCGTTGCCCACCAAGGTGCTGCGCATGCTGCACGAGCTCTCCCGCAACGCCTCCATCTTTTACGCGCTCGAGGTGCTGCTCGTGGCCGTGCCGCTGCTCAACGTCACCTTCGGCCCCGTGTCGAAGAACCTGCTGACCGTCGAAAACTCGCCCGGCCTGTGCGGGCCGCTCGGCGAGAGGTACGGCCAGGAGACGTGCCTCATGCTGGACGTGCGCCTCGCGAAAGGGTACTGGATCATCTGCGCGCACGTCGCCCTCTTCCTCTACTCGGGCTTCGACGGCTCGCCGACTCACAAGTACTGCCAGCACGAGCTACACCGCTCCGACTGCCCGCCCTTCCCGTGCTGTTCCAAGCAGCAGCAGGACAGCCCGCCGTCAGCACGGTCCGCGCGGCAGCCCACGATGCATTAGCGACATTGCTTCGTCGGACGTCGCCACTTTTCTCAAACCCCTGCTTTCGACTGCTTGACTTGTGTGTGAGTTGTGTGTGACTTGTGACTTATTGTGTCGTGTGATGCGTGGTGTTGCGTACTGCTAAGCAAGATGAGTCAAATGATAAAAGCGCACACAGAAGACACATATTCCACACTCCCGACTGATACGTGAATATCGTGAGGCCGTTTTATGCGGCGTGGATCATTCTCAACAGCCGCCCACTCACCTCTTCGGTCACCCTCTGCATGTGCTCCTCCAGGAGGATGTGAGGGAAGAGGCTTCCGTCGCGCATTGCAGCCAACTGAGCGTCGGCCGGAAGATCGCTCGGCACGCCGCAGAGTCGAGTCCAGCGCGCAAGCACCTCCGCCTCAATCATGCGAGCGAGCGCATCAAAATCGACCTGGGTGGGACTGCCGATCCGCAATGCCTAAAGGGGCACATGAGGGGTGGCCCCTCCTCGTAGCAGCAGGAGGCCGCGGGGCTGGGCAGGGGAAGCAAGGGGCAGGGGAGGCCCAGGGGACACAGAGCAAGCGGAGGCGGCGGCGAGAGCCTCGTGATCATTGACGACGAGGCGAACGCACGGCGCCAGCACGGCGACGCGCACCGAACCTAGCAAGTCTTCGGCGTGCCGCCGTGCCGCCGCCGCTTCCGTCTCAGCCGCCACCGCGGCGGCTGCCGCCTGCGCCTCCGCCTCCGCTCGCCGCACGGCCTTATGCACTTCTATCTCCAGCTCAGCCTCGTGCCGCTTTTGCAGCGATGCGACCTGCGCGACGTGCTCGGCTTCAATCGCCGCCTTGGTGGTGGCGAGCTCGAGGATCCTGTCCTTGCTTTGGGCCTCCAGCCGCGCCCTTGCCTCGCTCGCCTCGCCCAGCGCGCGGGCAGCCTGGTCGGCCTCCTCACGTGCGGAGAGCACCTCGGAAGCTGTGCGCTCGCGCTCCTCCTCGCTGCGGCGCAGCCGCTCCTCCGTCTCGACGAGGGAAGCCGCCAAGCGCTCGAGATCGCAGCTGACTGCGTGCTCTTGCGCTCGCCGCGCCTCTTCTGCCGCCCTCTTGGCCTGCTCGTGCTCCTCACGCGACGCCCGCCCGTGAGCACCTGAGCTTTGGAGCGCAAGCTGCAGGCGCGAGGACTTGCCTTCCGACGCTACCAGGCGCTGCCGGAGCTCCGCTTCCCTGGCCGCATGCTTTGTCTCAAGCAGCTCTGCCCGCGCAAACAGCGAAGCCACCTGTTCTCGTAGGTCTGAGGCCTCGGCCTTTGCCGCCGCCAGCTCCTGTGCCGCCTTTGCCGAATGCCGGCGCGTCAGCTCTGGCCGGCTTGGAGACGCCTCTGCTGGCCGCTGAGCGCCGCCCCTCACGTCCTCCGCCTGAAGGGTCGACAGCACACGGTGAATTGAATTGGTGAAGGTGATAGGACGGGGGCGGGAGGAGAGCAGTCCTGCGCTTGATACAGCATGGCGAGGGCTTGGCCCCTCTCCTCCTGCGCTGCCCGCAGCGCGCGGTTGCTCCTCTGCAGCTTGGTCGAGAGCAGTGCGCAGCGCTCGCACTCCGCTTGCCGCGAAGCGCACTTGAACTGAGCGCCTCGCACCGTGGGGCTCGCTCGCTGTCGGCACGCTCCCGCTGTCTGAGCACGGACCATGGAGTGCGGCGATGGCTGCGTGCGAACGAGGCTTTCCGCTGAGGCGGTCATTGCATGCTGCTTGACTGGCAGCGCACAGGAGGAGGGCCACGCTGCAGGCCGCTGCTCCGCCAGCGGCAGGCGAGTAAGGCGCTCAGCGGAGCGCATTGGGCATGTGGGGGGGCCCAGCGGGAGGGGTGGCGTGTGGAGTTCGTTTCAGACACAAAACAACAAACCCAGGCCCGGGCTCTCTAGCCCGCAACCCGACCCCGATCATCTGGCCCACTGGGTGCGCTTCTTAGCTCCCCGGCCCTGGGTGTGAGGTTACCGACTGCACTCCAAGTGCTCCAAGTGCTCCGCCTGATTAACATCTTCTTTGGGCACATGCCTGGCGCGCCTGTTAAACAAGCGCACTCTCGCCAGTGGGTCCATTGACCACACGCCGTACGGCACCTCCCACGCGTCCACCCACTCGCACTACACCTTCCACTCCGCGCCGGAAGTGTCGGGGCGGCCATCTGGATGGCGCGCTGCCCGGAGGGTAGTCGAGGCGGGTATAGGGGTGTTGGGTGGGGGAGCGCGCATGAAACGTGCCAACAAAATGAAACGCCAAAAAGCCGCCGCCACTCACCCAACCCACCGGCTAGGAATTCCATCCATCCATAGATAAGGAGAGGGTACAGCTGGGGTACAGGTGGGTTAAGATCTCCGTTAGCGGGAGATCGGCGGGAGCTGCGGGACGTTTTACATAGGGAGGTGCATGCAATCGGACTGAAGACTGTCTTGTAAGCGTCGGAGGGGAACGCGAAGCGCGAGATGTGTTTTTCCCTTTTTTTACCTTTTTACTTTAGCAGGCTGCGCTACCAAGCTTAGCGTGACACATGATTTGTATATGAGCGACAACGAGATATGCGGCTAACGA